AAGGGAGAGAAAAGGGAAATTGCATGGAAATGAAGGGAGACCCTCATTGCTATACAAAATTACATATAAGAGGTTGTGAGGGGAACGGGAAAACAAACAATGAGAGTAATAAATTACAGTAGACGGGATAGAGAGAGAAGATGGGAGGGGAGGGGACAGGAGATAATAGAGGATAGGAAAGGAAGCAGAATACAACAGTTATAATAGGGCATCATGTAAAATTGTGGATGTGTAACCGACGTGATTCTGCAATCTGCATTTGGGGTAAAAATTTGGAGTTCATAACCCACTTGAATCTAATGTATGAAATATGATATGTCAAGAGCTTTGTTATGTTGTGAACAACCAATAAAAAAAAAGGAATATTTTAAAACATTGGTGAAACAGCAACAAAGTAAGTGGCATTTTGGATGTCGCCAACTGTCAGCCATGAGATGGGCCTACAGACACGGCCAGCACACTGCAGACACGGCCAGCATGCCTACAGACAGGACCAGTGTGGCCATGGTTAGGGCAAAGTTGAAGGATGAATCCAAAGTCCTGCCATGTGACTTAAAGCAAGTACCTGTGCCTGTCTCCGGCATTAAAAACATCTGTAACTGAGCCAAATGTGTAAGCAAAGGGAAGGACGGGTCTGGAAGGCGCCATGCAGACTTTAAAGCCATAGGCCCAACAACCCCAGCTGACCCCTGAGGAAGCCCCGTGAGCAGCCGCGCAGCTGCTTCCCAGGGCCACCTGAAGTGTCCCCAGTTACAGAACATCACAACCACAACCGTGGGATGACAAGAAGGCAGACACAGCTGCGAAGCGGAGTGGGCGGCCAACAGCTGCCTGGAGCACTGTGGCCTGGGTGTGTGGACTCAGGTTCCCACCACTGCTCTCCAACAGACACGCCTGGCACACACTCAAGACCAGAGAAACACCCTCATCTCAGAGCGCAGCGTGGAACAGTAGCCGCCACGTCTGACCTACCAAAGCACTCGTCAGTCCTCCCCACCGCTCGCCAGCCCTCTGCACCTGCAGGGCACCTCATGCATACTGTTTGGGAAGAACCAGCCACCATGCACAACTGGCCAGGTGTGGCCCTCGCCTCACTCCAAACAGGGTATCGGCCAGCAGGCAGGGTGCTCCCTCAGAGCTCCTGGAGGACAGCCACCTGGCTCTTCAGTCAGACCCCGATGCAGGCCCTTCCCGCACCTGTGCAAGGGACCAACAGCAAGGAGGATAGCGCTAGCAGACGGCACACAGCTCCACTCATTCAGCCCACACCAGGGGAAGGTCGAGGTCCACCAGAGAGACCTTCAGAGGCCACTCCAGGGCTCATGGGAAGAGGTGTGGGAGGGCCCCAAAGGCTCCAGGCTCCTGACCTTAATGTACACTCAGCCAACACGGAGAGCAAGAAAGGTCACACATCCCGATGGCACCAAGAGAACAATCTGAGACTTCCTTTTTAGTGAATTCAGTCTCTCTCAGTATAGAATGGAGTGTTCTTTGTAGAAATTTTGAGAAACGAGAAAAAGTACAAGGAAAACAGGCATCTCCTGAAACGGCCCCCACCCTTGGTCAATACAGCTGGACACTCCCCAGGAGCCTCCCTGCATGTGGGTGAGCACAAGCACCCTCCGGGTGACCACGAGGGGACTGAGGCACTGTGGGTTTCAGTCTGCTGTTCTCTCTGCTCTCTGCTCTGCTCTTGAGCATTCCCACATAATTAAACATCCTTCAGAAACATGACTCTCGTGGCTACAAAACGTGACACGATACAAGATCCACAACTATTCACAACTTCCTTTTTGGTGAAAACACAAGCTAATTCCCTACTTTTCATCACCTTAAACTCAGGGCAAAGCGCTCCACCAGCAGTTCCCAAGGCCACCTGTGCGGAGGCCAGGAGGGCGCGGGGAGCAACAGGAAGCGGCCTCTCCGGGATGGCCCTCCACATTTCTCCCTTGGTCCCTTCCCAGGCCTACCAACTCTTCCAGGGCCCATGCCCCTACCCACAATCACAGGTCCCAGGAAGACGGAATGACTCCTGCCCTCCCTAAAGCACTAGATATCAGAAAAGCCCAGTGCTCTACCGACTTGACCGTGTTCCTGATCCCTTTGATCAACCACACTCTTTACCGCATCTTTACCAAAATGTAGAGCCTCGGAAGGTGCACAACAAACCAGCAGGCGTTTCCAGCCTGAGAATATCCCAGCTTCTACGAACAGGTTTCACCCACCGTCCACATCACCCAGGTGCTGGACACAAGCTCTGGATGTAGGGCCTGGAGCCCAGGGCTCCTCCCTGGCCTGCCCACGACAAGGCTCTCACCACCTCGCCACCACGGCTCTTCCAAGGCAGCCACCCTACCCCAAAATGGGAGGGCAACTAGCCAGGGGAGAAGGAGCCCTGGGTTGTGGTGAAAGCAACCAGGGAAACGGCCCAGGTCAGAGGGCAAGACTGCTCTCCCCTGCTCCGCAGGACTCCTGGCTGCCGTCTCCTGACTACAAGACAGCCACAGACTGCTCTGCAGAGGTAAGCCAAGCCACAGAGGACAGGCCTTCCTAGTTCAGCCTGTGCCCGCTACTGCACAGTGGGAGCAGGCACGGGGCTGGACCTGGGGGGCATGTTGGAAATGCCGGGGCTGCACTGCCACGATACGCACCAGGAGCTCGAGGCTCCTCAGGCGACCCTCCAGCAAGTGCAGCCAGATATCAGCTGCCAAGCTGCAGGACCCCACCCCGACACCCTCCGCTTCACTGGCCCAGATCCTGTGCAGCAGACCCTCTGTCAGAGCCGACCTGGCAGTGCCCTGCGCCGTCCTTTACTCTGGTGGCTTTTGGAAAACACACCTTTTCATTTTAAGTTATGGAAAAGAAGGTGCCTAACCCTACAGATCCCTGAATGCAGGAACACTGAGGGGCTGGGCAGGCAGACTCCCAGCTCCATCCCCAGCCCTGGACCAGGAGCATGGCATACCCTAGATATGCTCCCCCTCCACCACCCGGCTGGCCCCGGCATGAGGGTGTCCAGGAGAAGCAGTGTGAGCACCAGCCACCCCTACACGTCACAGCACCCCTACACTCAACTCTGGCTACCTCA